GATATGCATTAACAATAAGCTAAAAATTAGGAAACTATCTGAAAAATGTTTGTTTCGTTTGTTGATAGAATTATATTGATGGGGTTCTCATTGATACGATTCAGCAATGGCCTCACGGGGATCAGGCTCGTAACATTATTTAGAAAAACGGAAACCGCGAGCCAGAGACCCTTCGCCCATAGATTTCTACGCCTCGAAAGGAGCGAGCGAACCCCTCGTCGAGGAACGGAGAACGTTTCGCGTGGCAATGGTCGTGGCGGACACGATCCGGAAAAGGAAGTGGTTGGTTTGCACGGTCAATCGTCCGAAACGTGTTTGCCTTTAACGATCGATCTCCTGCGGAGGCGGATGTGGCGCTTCGCGTGCCCGTTACGTCGTTATTGTGTTACGGCCAGAAATTGCGTTGATTCTCGTTGATCCTTGAAATTGTCCCCCGGCAGAATCTGCAGAATCCGCGAGGGAGGAAATACCGAAGCGCGTGCAGTGTCAATAAATTAGCAAAAGACTCGTTTTTACCCGCACGCGATATTTATTTCAACGGTGCGGTGGACAGCGACCACTCGAAACGAGAAAATTATGCGCCCCGCCTGGTTTTCATGGGTCATAGGAATACATTTCTAGAATTTTTACGAAACTCTGCACAATTAATAATGAAAATAATCGTTAACAGAGTGTTAGATATAATTCATAGCAATGTAATAAATAGTCATGAAGCGTTATCGAAATAAAATGTGACAATGCACACTGTTACAAAGAGATGACAGTTAATATAAGATATAAAGGCGGCCGCAGTAAGAAATATTGTTTCACAACTCGTGTTTTTGTCGATAGATACCTAGACAATTTGTGGTATTTGATCCTGGCGATAGAGGTTTCTGGTCGGAAAATTATTTGTCGGTAACGGAAGAATAAAATAAATCGCCTCGAACGGAATCGAATTGGTCTGGCTCGCGGGCAACTGCCGTGTAAAATGGAATTCCTGCGAGGAATTCTATTCTACGCGGTCTTCCCGCTTCTCTTACGCGGATCGCGGCTGCTCGAACACGGTACCACCTGATCTCGATTTACGCGCCTCGATTCGAACATTTCTCGATATTTCCCGCGATTACGATCGCCGAATTGCGTAGCAGCGAACATGAGCCCGTGAAACATTTTAGTATTAAAGGCCAATGGCTTTATCCATTGCCAAATTTATTCCCTTATGCATTTATGAAAAACTCTTCCTTCTTCTTAATTCTGTTAACTAATTCGATAAATCATAATTCTATAATTTATTTAACATTCAAGTCTTGAATTGTAATTAAAAAATTTTTAATGCGCGTATGCTAGATGTGAAAAATATCTCGCGAAAATGTAACACCTGCTAATTAAATTAGACAGGTACGTATTATAAAATTTTATGCTGTTAAACTGACTGTGAGCTCATCTCACTGATTAAAAATAGTAAATTTATATTTGGTTTCTATATTACAAGTGAATTCATAAATTATTTTATTCATGGAACTGTGTTAAATAAAACATACTTTTGAAAAATATAAAATTTTCCTGTAGAAGCGGATAATATTTCACTTCCACAGAGATATTATTTTCAGCGTAGCAATATATTTTCTGCCTTGAATTTCACATTCGTTGATAATTGAATATTTTTTGTACAGGATGTAAAAAATGCAAAAATGATATAGATATTTTAAGGCGGTAGACTTCGATAGCTACGCGATAGGGCAGAATGTAAATGTTACCCACAAAATTAGCCAAAAGTATGGGTTTGGGGGAATACCCTTTGGTCGTCAAGTACCTCTTCAGAAAGAGGAAAGTCAAATCTGGCGCGGTCTGATATTATTTAATCAGAATATGCTCATGTTTAGCAATATAAGCGATCATATATCCAAGACAGATTGTTTTGATTGAAATAATGACCTTTTTGAAGAGAAACCTGAAGACCGAAAAATATTCCTATATAACGACGAAAAATGTGGCCCCGTAAACCCATATTTTGCACTATTTTTGCCTGATTATCGACAAAACAGAGTAAAAAAACTCACTATTTCAGCACCTTAACGTCGGATGCATATATGTATGTCACACATCACACGTTCTACGTATTGAACCTGGTAACACAGCAATGCTGCAATACCTACATCACATTCGTACAATCACGCAAATGTACCAATCGCAACACAGGCTAATCACACGCGTGTACATCCACAAATACGCTTGTTCGCAAACACTCGCAGGCATCCCTCCATCGTGTACATGCTTATACATGTATAATGATACGCGTATGTGCACGCACGAATATATAATCGAGCACAAACACAGACGCGCCGCCGTGGCGAATCATGCACGTGCACGCGTGGAACAAGAGAGCCGGCGCCATTGGCGGCGCACAGGTGGACGCGCATGCATACGAATACGTAATCACCTTCAAACTTGATGTATCTAAACAGTAAACGTGCGCACGACCACGGTTGTACGATTATGCGATAACCGACGATACATGTGCATTACACATAGGATGAATCAATAAACGAATATGAAACTCTGTTTGAAATTATCCTCCATTTACTAATCGTATTATGCAGCTTCCGAAAATGAATTTTCGTTTTGATACTAATACTAAAATACAGAAATAGATCCATTCAATCTATCTGATGATGAATACATAGGAGGTAAGTAAATAATTATTCGTATCAAATGGTAAGATTATCCCCCTTTCTGCGTCGAGATTTTCATTGCTTCTAAAAATATTAAGATTTATCAATATATTTCTTCTTTTCTTCAAATGTGTAATTTAAAAATTTAAAGAATTATTTTTAAACGATAGAGGTAGAAGATGTGTTGTTCTCGCTATATGGCAAAATATTTTTTCCAGAATAGAAAACGAAAAGGGAATTTTTAATTTGATCAATAATTATGACATTCATAAAGGATTTTCATAAATTATTTTATGGGAGAAGTAAGATAGTAACAAGGAAATTAAGGAGAGATAAGAAAGAAGATAATTCTTAACGAAATAATAATTCTCCAAGATTTAGTTAAACGGCTGCATATAAAGATGAAACGTAATATTCGGTCGCACGGAATAATTAT